GACGAGGACGGCGTGCGGCGAGGTAGAGGCGGTACGGAGGCCGTCGAAAACTTGTGGTACGAGGACATCGGGAACGTTGTGCTGCTTGATGCCGGACTTGATGCCGGTGACGTGCTGGACCTTTTGATCGACGCTGGCCTCGCTGCGGAGGATCTTCAGCAGGTCGTCGACCTGTTCTTCGGTGATTTTCTCCGCCATTCCCTGCAGAACGAGGGTTGGGCTCGGGGTGGGTTGTGCCTGGTGCGAGCAGAAGGCAGTGTCAGCAGTTGTCTGTATATATCGTGGTCAATGGTGGTGTCGTTTGTCGTCGTTGTCATCACAAAGGAAGCTTGGACGAATGAGACGGTTTGCGCGCGCGCGGGTAGGTAGCCAGTCAGGACAGACGAGCGACGGGGAGGTCGACGATGAGCGAGGGTATGAATCGTTTAGCGCACCGGGGGAGGGGAGGGGGTGTGTGATATCGTTTGAAACTGGTAGGGCAGAAGAAAAACGCTTACAACTATGTGCAAATATGCGTTGGGAAGCGAGCAGCAGCACGGAGGAATATCCCAGTGCGAAGAATGTGGCAGATTGGGGCCGGGTTGCGCAGGTGGCAGCAGTGGCAGAATGGAGATGGGCAAAATGGGGTTGTTGTTTATGGATGCGGTTGACGTTCTCGAAACCAAACAACAAAGGGGCATCGCAGGTTGTCCCGTGCACCAGCAGCGCCCAGCAAGCCCCAGCCCGGGCGACCATTGGCTGGGGGTTCCGCTCCTGCGGTGTTGCGGGACGCTAAGAAAGACTGCGCTAGGTCCTTATCCGCTTATCGTGAGAGGGCCCTGAGCAGTGAGGTGAGGGGCGGCCACGGGGCCCGGACCCTTACCCCTGCAGCCGCGGGGGAGGCACGTTCCCACCCAAGCAGCTAAGCACCTGAGGTACGTCCCCCGATCGGGAGCTACAGTTGCCTGTCATGCTGCACCTTACGGCGTATGGAACAGGGTCCTCCGTCAAGATGATGTGGACTCGTGGAATTCCTGTTTTCCTTCCCTCATCCACCTCGGACATAAAGGGAGGAGCGTTTCCTGTTTCTATGCAACCTCTCGAAAACGAGATCGTAATGTTAATTATATGAGAGACACTGGCGTGTAGTACAACCAGCATCCGCTTCCGCATGCAGCTACTTATCTTACCTCAGGCGTTGAAACTCGAGCAAAGTACGGATACCTGCGTCCCATTACAGTGATCGAAACCACCACTACCTCACGCTAGTTGGCTAAGGTAGGTACTCACGAAACCAAGGTACTCGGTAGCTCCAACAGGTACCCTACCTCACTTCAAACTATCCGGATCCGTAGGGCACATCATCTCGAGCTACTGCGTCCCTCAAAAACCCCCCTCGCGGGTCGCTCTCTCCCAGATGGTCCTCCCACCAAACACCACGCCCAACCCTGATCCCATCGCCATCTTCCTCCCAGCCATGTCATCCGCCGTCCCAGAATCAACACCAACCTCCGAGGCACCGGGCCCGGCCCCGGCGCCCCCAGCCGCCACCCCGCTCCCCGCCCACCTCAAATCATCATCAGATCAGCAACCGCTAGCCCCCGCCGCCGGCGCCGCCAGCAATCACCCCCGTCCCGTCCCGGACTTTGCCCTCCCCAAGCTCCGCCTCGAGATCCGCGACCTCAACGACCCGGCCGCAGCCCACTTCCTCTCCGCCGTGAACGCCAGCACCGCCCTCGCGACCGCCGTCCGCTCCGTCCTCACCCTCCTCTACGAGTCCCCCTCCAACCACACAACCCACGTCCCGCCAACCCGCTCCGTCACCCTCATCCTCCGCCCCATGGGCGGCGTCGCCTACACCACGGGCTCCGACCTCGACGACGACCACAAGGAGATCCACTTCTCCATGTCCTACATCGCCGGCATCCCCGCCGACCGCCGCACCGCCGAGATCATGGGCGTCCTCACCCACGAAATGGTCCACTGCTTCCAGTATAACGCCCACGGAACCTGCCCGGGCGGCCTGATCGAGGGCATCGCTGACTGGGTCCGCCTCAACGCCGACCTGAGCCCGCCTCACTGGAAGCGCGACGCCACCGGGAACTGGGACGGCGGGTACCAGCACACGGGCTACTTCCTCGACTACCTCGAGGGCCGCTTCGGCAAGGGCACCGTCAGGAGGATCAACGAGAAGCTTCGTACCCAGCGCTACAAGGAGAAGGAGTTCTGGACCGAGATCGTGGGCAGGCCCGTCGAGCAGCTGTGGAAGGATTACGGCGACAAGATGAAGGAGGAGGAGGCTGTGATTGTGAACAAGGACGATATTTCGGATGATGATGTTAGATTGGGAAGGATCCGAGCTGCCGACGAGGTTCCACAGTGAAGAGCTGTTCCACTACCATACTAGCGTAGACGAGGAGATACATTTCCTGTCATTTTTGGAGTTTGTTGAACTTTGATTGCCGTGGACGCGGCGCTATGCGATGGTCTCTCAGAAGGCAGACCAACAGGGAAGACACGGGATCACGGGGAAATGCATTTAGAAACTAAAGGTTTTATTTCAAATCATGTGCCTATCCGCCCAAAATCTATTCGTGCTCTGTTTCCCAGTCCTGTTGATCCTTTTGCGCCTTTCCCTGCTATTTCCGTCGCCGTGCTTAGCGAGCTGACTGAATCAATTGTGATATACCAAAGAAAAGTTGAAGAGAAACCGCGTTCATGCGTGGACACGGGCCTGCGCAGTTTCGCTGCGAGTCTCGCTCTCGCTGACAACGCTTCCAACCTCGGACCAGCTAGCGGGAGTCATCATACCCTCGCTCTCACTCAGCACATCGTAGTAGCGGCTATTGTCGCCGGCTCTAGACGAAGCGGCATCGTTGGCGACGTCCTCGCCGGAGCCAGCGAGGGAGGCCGAGTCGGTGGGGGTGAGTTCGCCTTCGCTAACAAGCTCGGGTTCGGACATGGGTACGGGAGGCGACATGGGAAGCGGTGAGTAAAAGTTGGAGGGGCTGGACCCTTGTGCCCAGGCTTGGATGGAGGCATAGGCTTCTTCGCGGTTCTCTTGGCCAGCAGTCATGTACTCGTCGGCACCGAGCTCGCGGTCGAGAGTCGTGGACTTTTCAGATTGGGATGAAGTTTCAGAGACGTCGACCAGAGGGGGCATTTGGGCAATGGTGGCGGCAATGTCTCGGGGGCGTTCGTCGGCGTCGCGGGTGGTGGCGCTGTAAATGTCTGACACGGCCTCGTCGTGGGCGGGGGACAGGGAGCTGGGCTCTTCCATGACTGGAAGATCTTCCTGATCGATCTGGTGTTCGTCGGCGAAAGGGTTGGCGTAAAGCGAAGCGTTGAGGCCGCGGACACCCTCGGGACGGCGTCGAATAAGCCCCTCGTCGTTGTAGGTGGTTGCGCCCGTGTTGTAAACGAAGGATCCCTTCTCGCCACTCTTGTCCTCGTGCAAAAAGTCATCGAAAGATCTGCCTCGCGCTGGGCCTGGTGGCGGCAGCTCCCGCGATCCGGATTCTTCGGCTTCGATTCTCTCCTTCTCCTTCTTGGCCAAGGCCACGGCATTCCAATACAAAATCTCCTCGCGCTGGCGGCGGCGTGTCTCGTCATCGGCGTCGACTCCGGCTTCAGCCCCTCCACGGGACTCTAGGAAACCCTGGGCGTCCTCGGGTCTGTTGAACATGGGCGGGCGGTCGTTGGGCTCGAAACCCTCGCCCAAAGAGTGTAAGGCCATGGCGATGCGTCTCCGGACATCGTTGGCATATCGCTGAAGTTCTGGTGACTCGTAGATGGCAATAGCAGCTGCAACGGCAACAGACACAGCAATAATGCCGGCTGAAGCCAGGGCACCGTTGTTAACACCAGGCATCGTCAAGCGTCGAGGCAGTCAGAGTTGTAGGGAATGAAATGGCGAGAAACGGTGAGGTAGCAGGGAGCGAAACAGGTTGGTTGCAATTTTGCAAAAAGGCAAAAAGAAACAGATGAAATAGCAACCCGAGAAACGAAACTGTCAAGCTCTAAATTGGCCACGCGCCCGAACAAGTCAGGATTGCGTGGTCCTGGATGCCATTTGCCACAGGCCTGACCACCTCAGGCAAGCAACGTGATTCGCAAGAGCGCTGACGCGGGGTAGTGTAGGAACGTGTATCCGTAGTGTAGGCTCCGAAGGAATAGCAGAACAGCAGATCGTCGGGCGGTGTTTGGGGATGCGGGCATGGGGGGGGGGATTCGGGGGAATTTCCATCCATTGAGACGGAGGGGCGGTAGGCGGCGACAAGGGGGTGGTTGTACAGATGAATGTCACTGACCTTTGGCGGCGATTGGCACAGGCATTTCGAGCAACCTCTGATCAGCAGGCCAAACGCACTTTGAAAATAAAGTATTGACCAGAGGTTGTAGATGCGAAAAGGAAGAGTGTGTGAAGGAAGTACGGTATGTAGGTGAGGGAAGTGGGAGGAATCGGAGCAAAGTCAAAGGAAGCGAAGAGAAAGGGAGATGGTGTAAGTGAGAGGGTGCGTTGCGTTGCGGCAGGCTGGCGACTTAGATACCTCTCTACGACGGTACCTTTCTTACCTTTTCTCACCTTGTCTTTTCCCTTCAACGGTGCGGGTTCTCTTGGGGGATTGCGTATTCCCTTACCGCAGCTTGAGCTCCCTCTCGCCGCATATGGACCTTGGTAGGCATGCCGCAGCCGTCAGGTACCTAGAGATAGGTCGGCAGGACGGGAGGCCTTGAAAGTACCTTGACGAGCGCTCTCGGTGGCCCCGTACTACTATTCTTCCAGACCCAGTACCTCTTCTGCCCTCACAAAGTCGGATCCAGGGCTGCCGCAAAGGGGGAAGGCCAGGAACGTCCAACCAATAGCCCGCTGCTGCTTGACCATACTTGGCGGGGGATCCCTGGACGTGACTTGCGTAGGGGGCGTCCGAATGGCTTAGCACCGATAAGATGGTGACAGTTGGATTTTTCGGTTGACTTTGGTACCTAGGCCTCGTGGTCCGCCTCGCCGCGAGACAGGCATGGACACTATCGTCCGAGTCCGCGGCGTGCGGTCAAACGTCCAACGAGTCACCCACCGCTTTGCCAGAGAGCCTAGACTTAGAAGAGGACAGAGGGGCGCCTGCGCGTGCTTGATGGTCTTGAGTTGGTTCATGTTTGGGGGCGCCGCCGCATGGCAATCCAGGCACCCACTCACGTCGCTTGACTCCCTGAAGGACCTTGTGGATTGTGGGTTGTACTTGTTGCCACCCACCGCAAGCTTCATCACCTATTTGCTGCCAGAGCCCCCAGCTGCGCCCGGCTGGAGGAAGCATGGCGCCGTTTATTGTCTCCCAGCCAAGCTGGAGGTGAAGCCTCTAGGGTGCGGCATCCTTCCGTCGGTATTGCGAGAATGCGATCCGCGGCGCGAACATCCCGCTGGTAAACGCCGAGCGATGAGCAACCAAGCCGAGATAGCACTCTCGTGGTCGAGAACGAGACGGGCATGTCCCACAAAAATCTGGCGGGGGTTGAGGGCCGAATCGCCCGCGTGACTCGCTAACGCAAGGTCGGTGTGCAAGCAACGGCTGTCACGATAACATGCTCCGGTACTTCATGCAATAATAGTTTGTTGAGCTGGTAGGGCGTTGGAGAGAAATCCTCGATCGATGTAGCCTTCGAGAGCCACTCTCCTCTTCTCCTCTTGATCAGACCGGTTCTGGCGCTTCGCAGCTCACAGATCGGACGTCATCCGCCATTGTAAGATGAATGCATCGAGTTGCACGATGAGGGTTTAAGTCATTCTTCTGATGTACGTCGGTATACGTCTGGAGGAAGGCACCTTACTCTGTAATTGTTAGTGTGCTCTTACTTGAGGCTTGGTGCTGCCGCCCACCGGCTGCGGGGCGCCACTGAATCCGGACATGGGAATCCACCTTGTAGTAGTGCAGCAGGTCGGCTCCGGGAACTGTTCGGCCCCGCTCCGGCTGCAATTCCGATTTTGGTACAACCCTGTCGGCAGAGCGGCCCAACGACCCATCCGGAGGGCCAAATCAAGAGTACGAGGTCCAAGAAAACGCTTCAGTCTTGCTTGATGCAACTTGCTCGCGGCACAGCCTAGTTCCCCTGCCGACAGTTGATCAGCGACAGTTTACCATACTTCAGTGGCCGTGATCCACCGTCCTCAATCCACCGTCCTCAATAACATGAGAAACTCGCTAAATGGTTGATTTCTATGGCTAAAAAAGACACGCATACTCGTTCGCAACATACTTCAGGCCAAGGATCATATCTCATAGCGCCCTGCTCGTGATATTGCAACACCTTATGCCTCGATGTGAATGGTTTTTATGTAGATATACTCCCAATTTGCGCGTACTAGTGTACGTACTCACTGAGATTATGTTTCATGGAGTACTGGCTGGAATCCCCAATCTGCTTGCTAGCGAATCCTGCCGAAGACTACACCTGAGCAGCCTCACCAAGCGAACGCCAAAGATCTCCATAGACGAAGACGCAAATAGTAACATTAGACTTGCCAAGCAAGCAAGTAGGTGATTCTGGCTGCAAGGATACTGAGCTTGAGGTTTTGTACATTGAAAATATAAGACGTGACACAAACAGCGTTCCAGCGTTGGCTTTCAACATGTTGGATTCCAATGTGAGGGGGGCAATCACCGACTTTCAGAAGAGGTTGTAAAAGGATGGTGATTCTGGCAACCGACATTGAAGGAGCTTATCTTATGAACTCAAGTAGCCGTGCTGAGGAAAATCTGCGCCGAAAGTAAACCGAATGCTGTTTGAGGAGTTCTTCAGTTGTATATCGTCGAACAGCACTTGTAATATTAGCGTCACTCACCGCCGAGATACACCTGGGTGTCGACAACTTCATACATACCTTATATGTACGTATGCTTGTGCTAGCTCTCTAGCACCATAATAGTTGCTAGATGGCCGTGAATGGGAACCCAGAAAGATCGGTATCACTCCCCGAGCTTAGCGTGACCTCCATGACAACCTCAGATACTCGCTCTATCTGGTCGTACCTGGTCCTGAACAGGACTTGACGCTATACCCATATGTCTGTATAGATTTCTTCTTGTGCAAACCTGGAAAGCCGATGTAGATGCACCTTTTTCCCGCCATTAATGAAGCGAGGAGGAAGAGCATGTAGTAGAGATTCACATTCAGCGCCATCCACACTACCGAAATGATCTTACTAATTCAAGTATTCTGGCAAGGCATCGCAGGGCAACTATCTAACCACCGGTGCTTATCTACGACGGACTAAAGTTCACATCTCTCTGCTGCTAACTTTGGCTGTATTCATACCTTACTTATCCATGCTTCCCTGCAGTCAACTAGCTGTACGTTATCCTTCGCTGCTCTAGACGGTATGAACCACTAGGTGAACGTCGAGCTGGGAACCATTCGGGCGTGTGGTAGTATAATAACGAACCGTGGTACTTCGGAAGACACCGCAGAAATCTAAAAACGCTTGTTTGCTTGTGAGTATTCGTGATGTTTGAGGTAAGGTATCAACGACTGACAAAACCCCATGCGGGTCCACCACATGCGATTATCGTGAACCCACCAAAACTTCAAAAACATACAACACCAGGTATTCGCTGGTCGTCACCGACCCAACTACTAATCCGGCCCTCATTGGCTTATCTATGGGAGAGCGGACGGGATCCCGAGTTTTCCAATGGGTATGGTCGTATGTGACGGTTAGAGTCGAGGGAAGCACCTATATCGCGAGATCGGGGAAGGTTGAAATGGATGTTTTTCTTGATTTACACAAAGAGATGGCCGGAAGAAGTGAGTTTTTCTCAGAATGGAACCTAGCTTATGTCCTAACTGGAACGTAGGCCTTTCGTGTAGAGTCGACAATTGCTCGATTGTCCGCTTTGTCGAAGCCGTATTATCATTCATCTTTCTACTAACGAAACATAGACCCGTAAGACTTGCATACGCGTTTGGCGGCCGAAAATATAGAATTTCAAGAATCAAACAGTTGGATCTCGTATTACATTTCAAGAGCTTTCATCATCCCAGCAAGTAATACTCGCCAGCTTGGAGGGGGGTTCGCCACAGGAGTGATATGTCACCCACTGAACCCCCTCAAAGGCCGACGGCGCCCTCAAATCGTCTCGCATGGCTAATGGGATTCGGAAAACAATCTCTCGAGTCAGAAATCCGTCTCCGTGGCATATTGTACCCGGCAACTAACTGATGGCACTGTCTAGTATCCGACCCCCTAGCTACTAAGAAGCTGACGAGCACTGGTGAGAGTAGAAGAGCTACCAAGCTTCATCTTAGACTCGTCCGCCGGACCACGGCATTATTCAGCAACCGGACGGTCCACGACGATGGAGACAACGGATTTTTAGAACACCGTCCATACTAGGCCGTAAGGACTGGCAAATCACGAATTCGCCGCTCAGACGTGGAGCTAATGTAGCCCTACACGATACAATGTACAACATGGCCGCCCACGGCTCTAGCGGGCTTGAGACTAGCGGGATCAAGAAAATGCTTGTATCATGGCCAACCGGTGGCGTGAGATGACTGTTGCTCAGGAGCAGGCGACAAACATCGACCCAAAGGAGTCTGGTGGAGCTGTGTTCTAGAGGAAGCCGTCGACACACCGTCTGGATCAGGGTCCGCCGGACGAGATCCACCGAGTCAACGTGGGATCAAATTATATGCCCTTCTCAATAATCTCATGCTGCCATGCATTGCATGTAGAACTTTCGTTATCGGATCGGGATTCGCTCTCGCTGACTTTGGTCTCCGGAAGTGCCGGATGTTAGGCTACCCGCGGGAAAGCGTCTTTTGATGGGTTTGACGGATCTGGTCAGTGACGTTGTACACAGTATGCAATTTAGAGTGAGGTATAGTGAAGAACAAGTTCATTGCCCATCTACTTCCCGAAGAAATAAGCAAAGAAGACAAAATTGTCAGCTGCGAGCTGCTCTATACGCCAATATTTTCCAAACCTCCGTGCAGACCCTGCTTCCGCCCTTCGCCTTTTCGCTCCAATGCACACCGGCGTGTTGCCATATACGTGCTTCGAGTAATTTCTCACGCACACCGGAGTTGACGGATAGCATGCCCCCGAGTATTGGTTGTGGAGTTGAATATCTTTGCCGTCGGCTCCGATCAGAGGTTGCACGTTGGTTCTCAAGGGGTTTCCTATTCCTCCATATGTCGTGCCTATGTAACGCCGTGATTGCGCCGTTTAAACAAGTGGTGGGCTTTCACCATCCTATCCCGTCACCGTTTTTGACCGCGCCGTCTTCGAGATTTTTCTTTCCCTGCCCGACATTCTTAGTCGAGAAAGTTTTAAGGCCTTCTTCTAGTGGGAGCTGCTGATGGTCGAAGCAGATGATGAGCTGGTCTGTGAGTCGGTAGAGTTTGTCCTCGTCGCCTTCGTGCGCTCGCTTGGGGACCGTATTAGTGCGAATTGTGAGAGATCGAGCACGGTTGCTTCACTCACTACGTAGAGCGGTCCTGGAGATGACACTCATACTTGGCACTGCCAGTCTTGAACTGGAAACGGATGCCCTTGTTCTCCAGTACGGTCTGGAGTTGACCATTCTGAGCGTCGGCGGAAGGCATGTTGAAGTTTGCGGAAGAGGATGCTCGAGGGTGTTAAGTTGCGGTTGTCTTTGAAATGTTACGAATGGTGTAAAACGATTGTCGGTAGACAAAGTGAGCAAGATACTGTTCGGAAAGAGACAATGGAGGCAAAATGAAAGGAGCAGCAGCTTGTTTATATATTACAGAGCAAGGGCTTTCGCAACACTAATACGGCTGCCGACTTCTCCAAAATCGTTGGCCACCCGCTTAGACTCGCAACAGACCTGCGCGGAAGAAAAGGCCCCAGCACTGGCGAACCTTGGGGTTCGCCGATTCGGGGACGAGGACTACATATTACATGGAAGTGGTCCACCCCGCAAAGATCCACTGCTAAGGCAAGGAGGGCAAGGGAAGCCGATATGAGCGATATTCGAATTTGAGTTGGAGACTGGGAATGGCCGTCAACCCCGAGTTTAATCGAGAGATGGTAGGCATTCGTTCATTTGGCCTGCATGGTACCCCATATTGCCTAGCTTACGGACCACTCGGTCACAGTGTATCCCAATGCTCATCTACATGCTCAGATACCAAGCACCAACATGGGGTCTTAGTCTTGAAAGGACCTAGACTAGATTCCGGAGTATTGTTTCTGCCCCCCATCCCATCGATTCGTAGTAGGGTTCTTGGGCACGCGACATCCTGTATCCGGTACGATGGTATTCAAGGACCCCATTAGGATCGACACTCGGTTTTACAACACCAAGAGGTATTACTCGGGCAAAGTCCTACTTCGAACCAATTGCTGACTACCATCTCTGCGCGTGATGTACAATACACCGCTGGGGCTTTCTTCCTGGGGCAGCTAGAGATGACCGACCCCTTTCTCGGTTATCCCATTCGCATTCCGTGAAAGCTCTACAATCAATTGTCTTCAGCTTGCCCTCTGTATCGTAACACGGCAGTACCCGTGACTTAAACCTTACAGCTTCTCTTGACTTTCATACTCGTACACGTCCAACAGTTGATTACAAGTCGTCACTCTCCAAGCTTACGTTTCCCTTCCTTCTGAGTGCGACAAAGTACGCCTCTTTCGAGTCCTGTGAACGAGTCAGCGTATTCCCATACACAATGTGGCTCTCTGTCCCTACACTGCGAGATGACTCTGGCTTCTCTCGAAAAACCTTTGCAAACAAGGTCTTCAGCTTCTTTTCAAACTCTCTGTCCTCGGAGCCTTGATAGAACTTGCAGACAAAATGCCCGCCGTTCTTGAGTGTGTCATTGGCGAACTGCAGTGCCGCTCCGCATAGATCCTTGGTTTCTCACCTCAGTAACTTGATAGACAGCAGCAGGGAAGAGAAAGATACGTACCATACTCCCAGCGTGGTCTCGGAATGCCATGCCGCTCGTGTTCATCATCCTATGATAGGGATTACTAAGACTGTTCACGCCGAACCCACTGGTCTGGTCCCAAGGTGCTGACATGTCACTCAACACAATCTGGTCCTTACGTCAGTCTGCAACGTCCTAAAAGATCTTGATGAAGGGGGAATAACGGGAAAGACTCACATCCACCAATCGACCTTTCTTAGCTTCCGACCCATCCTTGGCGGTACTTGAAGTTTCGGACGCTGCTCTCTCCATGTCGATGTAGCTCGGTTTTTCCTCAATGACTGTAGCCTCGCTATCCGCAGGTGATTCTTCTTCGTCGTTCTCTTGTTCTTCATCTTCTTCTGCTGGCAGTGAGTTCCGCTTGCGGTGCCTGGCTCGCTCGAGATAGTCCTTCACCATGCCCTGGACGTCGGGTGAAAGGAAGTTGCCTTGGATTGTTGAGACGCCCTTGGGTGGCTGTGCGGGTATGATGTCGATGCCCAGGATCTGGCCATTTGGCTTCGTGCGCTCGACAGCAACCTGTTTAGCGATGTTACACGTACTCTCCCCTGACGCGCGACTCTCCGTTCATCTAAGAAGTCTTCTTAAAAACCGACGTACCTGAGACCAACTTCCTGGAGCATACCCCTTCATCGCTTTCTCAGCCTCATTGCCTCAATGACTCTTGAAAGGGACATCAAGCTACTCTCGGAGACTCACCAGATCTACTACCGTCTGCCCTTTGCGAAATATCTTGTATTTGGCATCCATCTGCAATCTTCGTTACCATTTTTTGCCCTTGATTGACTTCATAACAAGATTTGATGGTTTCGTACCTCTAGGAGCTTGAATGCAGCCCGACTCTTGAGCCCCTGCACCTTGGCCTCGCGGGCGAAAAAGTCTTTACCCTGTCTCATCTTCCACCGCGAGTTGGAAGAAGATGCGCGCGTCTGCAAAGTCTCAGGAAAGCTTTTTTGACATTGCTTACATGTTGTGAATATGCTGGAAGAGGGTCGGCGCAAGGCAGCGCTCCACAGAGGGCGATATGCTGCTTCTGACATTGTGCGGATGTGTTGTGACAATGGTGGTTAGGATGAGGTTGGGCGTCGTCTTCTCAGTTCTCATATGACACGTCAAGACTGTTGATAAGAGTCGGCAGATTTGACCACGCTTGAGCGTTCAAAGCCGCTTTGTCGCCCGATGCTCATGAAATGAACGATGAGAGACGTTGAAGGGAAGCTTCTGCAATGGAGGGTGAGCTGGGAGACTTTATTGGCCCAAGCTTCTCGGATACGACTAGGGGTAAGACTCTAAGGCGACCTCAGGTTTTGACAAGGTATTGGCTTCACTTCTTTCCGCGTCCAACATCTCCTTAGGCACGACTGAAAGCCCTCGGAGCGCTTAATTACACGGATACTTGCAACAAAAATCATTGATCAGGACGCAAAATTCTGGCAAAATGGCAACCGCATGCGGTCTCTTAATTGGGGGCTTAGAAAACCCTACTTTATCTTTACATAAATCTCACCGACTAGCCAACCCTGAACGTAAAAACAACCGACCGAAAACGCCGCCAATGCATTGCCCCTTTTGACTCCTCCCGTTGAGCTGAAATTCCAAGGAAAAGCATTCTTCGCTTGAAAGCACAATTATTCAAAGCCAATCACGCCAGGAAGCTGGCACCGACTCCCCTTCTGTCCTTCTTGAGCGGCGAGAATGACTTCTTGCCAAAAGCGCCAGCGTTCCTCACCATGCTAAGATGAGTCTTGCCGAGAGCTCTGCCGGCACCCATACCAACCTTGCCAGGCCGCTTGGTAGCAGCGGGAGGCGCTTCGCCGTCGTCATCATCGAAGAGTGTTGCAGTTTCACCGCCCAACTTGCGCTTCTTCTTCTTGACTTCTTGTTCGCCCTTGCTAGCAGCGGGAACCTTTGCGGGAGCCAGATTCTCTGGCTCGTCAGAGTGAGGCTCCTCCAGCACCTGCTCAAGAGGAGCACTTGATGGAATGTGAGGTTTGTCAGCCGCAGCCGAGACCCCCTGCACAGGCATATTTGGCGATGTTTCCGTCAAGGCCTTCTTTGGTCGGCCACGGGGCTTCTTTGCTTCACCATCATTCTTGGATTTCGGCTTTGCTTTCGTTGTCTTGGTGGGGGCAGGCTTATCCGCGGATTCTTCCTGCTCTTCAACCTCCTCCAGCTGTTCTGGCGCATCTGCAATCTCGACCTCGGTCCTAGTATCGATCTCGACCTCTTGGGAATGAGACTGGTGGGACAGAGGGATATAGCTGACATCAGCTTCCTCGTCCTCTTCGGCGACGGCATCCTCGACATTGAGCGTCTTGGACTTGGCCAAGAATGGAGTAATGGAGAACAGTGACTTCTCGCCCAACATCGTCTGCTCAAGACCCTTCTTCTTAGCAGGGCGCCTGCCGCGAGTGATGTCTTCTGGCGTGCCAAGGCTCATGTCGTTCATGGTGACCTCTTCAACTCTTCGCTTCTTGCCGGCCTGCGCCTTTGCGCCTCCGGCACGCGCAGGAAGCTGTGCACTCGGTATCACTGCTGGTCGAGCTCCCAACTCCGCACGAACGGCCTTCAACTCATCCTGAGCGTTGCGCAACTTGGACTTGACCGTGTCTAGGCGCTGTTCGAGCATCTCATTTTGCGTTTGGGCCTCAGATAGAGCCATTTCATGTTCTTTTCGTAGCCTCTCCCGCTCCCGCCTCTCGACTGAAAGCACCTTCTCCATCTCTTGGATCTTCTGAGCCAACTCGCGTTCCGCCTTCTTGGTCTCTTGTCCAGCCTTTGCGGCTGAGACGGCAGCCTCAAGCTCTTCCTGCAATTGTTCCTTTTCACGCTTCTCCGTCGTCAGCTTCTTCTCGACGTCCTTGAGCCTGCGCCGCAAATCGTCTTCGGTCGATTTGTCGCCTTCCGCTTGTGCCGTCTGCTGTTCCCGTGCTCGTTTTTCGGCAGCCAATTCTACTTCAGCCATATTCAGCTGACGCTCTAACTCCAATTTCTCGGCGATGACATTTTGCTGGTGGGCGACTTGCGACCGTAGATGCTCCAGTTCAGGTTTCATGGCGTTCACCTCCCGAGAGAGGGCAAGCTTCTCTGCAAGGACTTTCGTAGAATCTTGAGACAGGCTGTTGAGGGATTCGAGTTCGGCCTGGCACATTCGAGGTTAGGATAGTTCGTCGGGTGTTTCCGAATCGGCGTTCACACCAACCTTGATGTGACCAAATTCCCTCTTCTGAGCCTTAAGCTGTGTGTCCTGATCGCGATTTGTCGCCTTTAATGATTCCAAGTCACTGCACGTTTGGTCGAACTTTTCGGACAACTGGTTGACTTGCGCTTCCCTTTCGGCAAGCTGCTCGCGTAATGTCGCGTTCTCATCGAGAAGAACTTGTTTGGTGACCTTCTGTCTTCGCGTGTCTTCCTCCTTGACGATGAGCTGTGCTTTGTGGATGTGTTGCTGGTGTTTCATCTCGAGCTCGTGAGCCGCAGCGGCCCTCTGTGTGAGAAGTTAGAGACATACCATTATTTACTGTCCGACTACTAGACTTACCTCTTCCGAGTCCATGTTCCTAGTCTTGCAAGGCATAATGGCGGTGTTGTGCAGTTGCTTCTGCGCTGGAAGCGCGTTGACGCGTTGGATTCGGAGGCCCCTAACGTGGTGTTGTGTCGCTTGAAGCTACGGCGTTATGGTTCAGAAGTCTTCTTTCACCACAATGCGCGATAGTGGAGATGCCCGCGCGTAAATCGATTGAGGTTCGCGATGTCGATGTTGAGATGGTGGTGTGTTTGGGTTGATTTTGAAATGGAGTACCAATGGGCAAGGTAAACATGGTTCCCAAAGCAGTTAGTTCATCGACGCCTCCCCCCCCCCCCCGGCTCCAGGCAGACTGTCTCCATAGTTTCTGAACTATGTACTCCGTACGCTGATGTCTCGGTAAACGGTTTGACGGTTCAGGGTGACATAACACTGGGATAGTTCAGGGTGCCTGCTTCCCCTAGGAAGAACCAAAATCCGAATCCGAGCGAGCTACCCCCGACAGCCCCGATCGTGCTTTCCTTCCACACCCCAATCGAGGTACCTTACCGTACCTTTCGTACTTAAGCCAAAACAGGAACGATACGTACACAACCTTGAGACTTGACCCACTTCTCTGTGGGTTGTCTGCCGCTGTTGAGAGCTGTCCAGTTCGAGCTGTTGAAGTTCAGTGTGTGGCATCTCGACGACACTCGCGGCGCGCACCAGTTCGTTACGCCAGCCCGACTTCAATATCACCAGCAACGGCCAATTGGCCACATCCTCAACCTTTCGATCGCCTCCCAAGCTATTGTTGCGTCTGAATCACCGACGCATCCCTAAAAATGCACTTCCTTCGCTCCCTCCTAGCGGGAACCTTTCTCGCTGCCGGCGTCTTCGCAGCCAAGAAGACCCCCGAAGAACGATTCAACGATTTCCACGCAAAGGCCCTTACCTCGTCTCCGATCAAGCTCGCCGATACCAGCTACAAGTCTTTGACTTCTGCTCCCCGCGATTACACCGTTGCAGTCCTCCTGACCGCTCTCGAGAATCGATTTGGTTGCCAATTGTGCCGCGAGTTCCAGCCGGAATGGGATCTTCTGGGCAAGACCTGGACCAAGGGCGACAAGAAGGGCGAGTCGCGCCTTCTCTTCGGTACTCTCGATTTCTCTGATGGCCGTGAGGTCTTCATGTCGGTAGGAAAACCCAGCCCGGAACCAGGTGATAATGGACTCGGCCAAGAACTAATACGATCACTACCAGCTCGGCCTCCAAACCGCCCCCGTCCTGCTCCTGTTCCAGCCCACCATCGGTCCTCACGCTGTTGCTGCTGTCGATCCTCTGCAATACGACTTTACCAGCGGGTGAGCTATCTGTCTCAAGAACGGAGTACCTCGTAGAATAAGCTAACGACTTAAAACAGACCTCAGTCTGCTGAACAGGTTCATGCCTGGCTGTCGAGACACCTTACTGACCGACCTCACCCTCCGGTGAAGCGCCCGATCAACTGGATGCGATGGATTTCTAGCATCACCATTGTCCTTGGTCTTGGCACTGTCCTCGTTACTGCCTCGCCTTACATCCTTCCCGTCATTCAGAACCGCAACTTATGGGCCGCTATTAGTCTCATTGCCATCCTGCTCTTCACCAGTGGGCACATGTTCAACCATATCCGCAAAGTTCCCTACGTTGCTGGAGATGGCCGGGGTGGTATCAGCTACTTTGCCGGTGGCTTCCAGAACCAGTTCGGTTTGGAGACCCAGATCGTAGCTGCTATCTGTTTGTTTACACCCCCCTTCACGTCAAGTCTAAAAGCTAATCAAAAGTAGACGGTGTCTTGGCTTTCTGTGCCATCTCTCTCACCGTTAAGGTGCCTCGTATTGGCGACAACAAGAGACAGCAGGTTGCTGTTCTGGCCTGGGGTGGTGTTCTGTTCATCATGTACAGCTTCCTTCTCAGCGTTTTCCGCATCAAGAACGGTGGCTACCCGTTCTCTCTGCCTCCTTTCATGTAAGGATGCTATTTGACAAGCCGGCACTATCGGAAAGAACGACCTGCGCTAGCAACTTCTCGTCTGGCTTCGAGTTGTTCGCCATCGCTGTTCGCTATGATAGCCATACCTTGGCAGTGGCCAAGAGCCCCGGTGTCACCATTGACACAAATGTAACATAGCGGAAAGAAGTCACCAGAAACTCATAGAGGGGGTGATTGGACGTGGTAAAATGACGTTCCACGAATTGAACTACAAAAGCATCGTAACGCATTTTTCCACCTCTGTTGGGATTCGTTCACTGTAGTTTCGTTGAGCAAGGCACAAGGGAATGGCTTATGCCCTATCCGCAAGTCCCCCTTTGATCGCAATGTGCTTGTGTCTCGCGGTGCTTTGACATTTATACCAGACCACGAGTCGACTCTATCTTTGCATTAAACCTAGGTGATTGGTCTATATTTATTGGGCTCCTTCTCAGTCGCCTCTAGAAACCATGTTCACACGCCCAATGCCTCTTTTATCCCTCTATCGGGATGCTGCCTCAAGATCAACTAGGTTATTGTCTCGAACTTCCAATTGAATAGTATATTGCGTGAATAATATGAAGCTCCGAACTATCAAGCAACCTCAGATTGGGTTAAACGAGGTTCACGGGACTACGACGCATGGCCTTCACTTATCCAGGTGACTCTTCGGGCAGATTGATAAGCACCGAATTCTTTATTGCTTGTCATGCTGACAGTTGTCTCCTGCCTAACGAGGTTGAGCCCGGGGCCGCATGGCAGCATTTAATATCAATGAATTGTCGCACCATTCTAACTATGGAGGCGAATAGAGGAGGTTTCATCCGGCAGCACCTGACCAATTTACAGTTGAAGTAGCCAAGCCGTGAAGCTAGGATCGGAGTTTTTAGCCGGCCAAGGAGAAATTAAGCACTCAGCACGAGGATTGTCCCCCCGCTGATCTGGGGTTGTTGCCGGCTAAAGTGATGACTACCACCCTAGCTCGTAACACTTTATTTTGTCCTCAGGAACTCTAGAGGAACGAATCACTTTAGTCAGGATTGGTCATTAGCCACCTCGTCTGCTTGGGGTAATACTGTTTTGACTGGAGGCTCTGGGGTGTCTGGAATAATTAGACTCGCCGTATGGTACTGTAATTCTTCGGGCAACATCGATTTCGAATATGCGCACTAGGTCTGCTTCAATTTTCTTTCACTTTCATATGTTTTTGCTATACAACACGTATTCAAAAACAAGGGGATGGAGATATGTGAAAACAGCCGGAAAAGGCAAGTAAACTGCAAGGTTTACTAGAGCATCAAACTCTCTGCACCTACTGCTCGCCATGGTAAAACAATTACGCCGGGAGTACTGGATATCTTACGATACCCGGTTAAGACGGCCCGTCCTCGAGGAAATCTGCCAAGTTGGATGGCACCATCACTCGTCCACGTTTGGGATAATTGTGCAGAATAGGAGATCTGCTCTCGAATGGTCGAAACGGAGGTTGGTTTGACGAGGTGACATTTTCTAATATTGCAAATACCACAATGTTCTGGGTGCTCTAACCATAATACTAGACTCGTAAGCCAATCATTCCTTGATTATTAGATGAAGTTGTCAATCTGGCGGTGATCTTTGCATCGAGAACCCTTGATCGTGAGGTGCTTTGGTGGACACCGCGTAGCATGAGTTTTGTCTGATTGCAGTCGTGACAGAGCCCATCACCTTGCCCATGAGAACCGCTCCCTTGGCTGGACATTTTTGGTTCGGAGGCTTGAGACCGAAATCAATACAGCCACCGGGCCTGGTGCCTGATTGCCGTTACTCAGAGTTTCAGGGATGAACAAAATGCAAGACTTCGGAGGTTGACCATCCTTTCAAGGTATTACCGGTGTAGATAAATAGTGTCATGGCTCCCAGTGCAATCATGGCTCTCATCAGAATCTCAGCATCGCTACTACAGAGCTCATCATCTTAAGAGAGTATTATTATCATCAAGATGAAGTTCACCGCCGCTACATTGGCGGCTTTGGCCTCAACAGCCATTGCTGCCCCTTCTCAGACGATCAAGGAGCAACCTCGGGCAGCAGCCGCTGCATGCTCTGCCAACGTCTCCCTGGATGCGAAGACCAATGTCTTTTCCAAGTACACCTTACACCCCAACAGCTTCTACCGTGCAGAGATCCAGGCTGCAGCTGCAGCCATCTCGGACAGTACGCTCAAGGCCAAGGCCCTGAAGGTTGCTGACATCGGCTCCTTCCTTTGGCTGTATGTTGGACATCTACGAACCCTTCCTTACGCAATATGATACTGATATTGCAGCAATGCAGTGACACCATTGCCAACATCCAGCGTCTCACGCCCGCCATCGCTGATGTTCCCTGCAACAACATTCTCGGTCTGGTCATCTACGATCTCCCCGGCCGTGACTGCGCTGCCAAGGCCTCCAACGGCGAGCTCAAAGTCGGCGAGCTGAGCCGCTACAAGACGGAGTACATTGACCCCATTGTCAAGATCCTGAAGGCGAACCCCAAGACCGCCTTTGCTCTCGTCATCGAGCCTGACTCTTTGCCCAACTTGGTCACCAACGCCAACCTCGCAACCTGTCAGGCCTCGGCATCGGGCTACCGCGATGGCGTTGCATACGCCATACAGGCTCTCAACCTTCCCAACGTCGTCATGTATCTCGATGCTGGCCACGGAGGTTGGCTTGGGGTAAGTTCATCATCACATCCGTCCAAGCGACATGTTCTCGCACAGTCTTGCTTTCCATATCCTGATCATGTTGTCTGACTGGATTCATAGTGGAACGACAACCTCAAGCCTGGTGCCGAAGAGCTCGCCAAGGCATACAAGGCCGGCGGCAGCCCCTCGCAGCTTCGAGGCATCGCCACCAACGTTGCCGGATGGAACTCTTGGTAAGTCTAGCTCATATGCTCAAACCTTTGAAAAGTAGGAAACAACGCAGCGAGAGCCATTTCACTGACATCGCGTACCTACAGGGACGCCGAACCCGGTGAATTCGCCAACGCCCCAGACGGCCAGTACAACAAGGCCCAGAACGAGAAGAAGTACGTCACCCTTCTCGGCGCCGCCCTTCAGACGGCCGGCATGCCCAACCACGCCATCGTCGACACGGGCCGCAACGGCGTTCAGGGCCTCCGTCTCGAGTGGGGCGACTGGTGCAACGTCAACGGCGCCGGCTTCGGCCTCCGCCCCAGCGGCAGCACCGGCCTCGAGCTCGCCGACGCCTTCGTCTGGGTCAAGCCCGGCGGCGAGTCCGACGGCACCAGCGACTCGAGCGCCACGCGCTACGACTCGTTCTGCGGCAAGTCGGATGCCTACAAGCCATCTCCCGAGGCTGGTACCTGGAACCAGGCCTACTTTGAGATGCTGCTCAAGAACGCCAAGCCTGCCTTCTAAATGGAAAAGAAAGGCTTCCGCTACTCTGGCCATGTTGACCGCAGCGAGAACCCTTCATTGTGCTGAGAAAGGGGGCCTCTGCTGAATTTTGTCTTTCACACATGGCCTAGTTAAATTCTCTTCGTATATATACAATGCCAAGTCTTCATATATCTGTATCATTCGTGTCTTATTCTAAGTGATCCAGTGAGGGGCATGGGTCTTGAAAAAGTTGCGACTAGACAACATACGAGAAAGAGACTCGGTCGTCACAACTCACAGCAAGAAGGCCACCGTGCTCATCATGAAGGTAGTTGCTTACCCTGTGTTCTGCATAACATGGGGGGATAGTCGTTGCTAAAATGCCAAGTCTACAGACGTGACGTTGAAGGACGAGTTTTCACAGTCATCACTCAAGGCAGGATTGATGCGAGTGTGAGCTGACCAAGTCAACATCACGAGTTGAATGAACGAGAAACAGGATTTTTTTGAGTTTGCCAGGATCTTTTGATTTGGGCGTTACGGGTTCATGTCCGAGTCCTTTCGTGGGCTACCTATAAGCCAGCCATGCAGTCTCATCCCCAATTTTTCACAAATCGTTTTGACCCTGCGCATCCCGAAAGACATAACGAGGAAGCCAGCCTAGGACGCCCGCCATGATCTACCAAGAGAGCCCTTTCCCCACCACACTTCGTCACCATCATCGCATAACCCAGAGAGAGAACAGAAGAGAGCTTCACGCCCGTTTATGCTCTCGACATGACACCCCAGGCACGGATGATGTTGTCAGTGTAACCGGCGAACAGGGTCTGGCCATCGGCGGACCAGGCCAAGCTCACGCACTCAGGCTCACGGCTCTTCTTGCCGACAGCAGTGAACTCGGGCTTGAGCTCATCAACCTTGCTCTTCTTCTCAAGGTCGAAGATGATGATGCTGCTGGCGGTAGCAGCGCAGAGCCAGTAGCGGTTGGGGGAGAAGACAAGGGCGTGGATCTCGTCGTTGGCGTTGAGGGAGTAGAGGTGCTTGGACTCGTTAAGGTCCCAAAGCATGGTGGTACCGTCCTTGCCACCGGAGGCGCAGAGGGATCCATCGGGGGAGATGGTGACGGTGTTGATGTAGCCGGTGTGGCCGATGTGGTCAGTCTGCAGCTTGCAGGTGCTGAGCTCCCAGACCTAGAAATTTACCCTTGTCAGCCATTCTGATCTATGTGGAATTTTCCACAAGGCAAAAAATAAAAATTGAAGGTGCGAGATCAGGGCAATGGTGAATAGTGGTCTCATGGCCTGCACGGCAGGCTCTGAAGTAGCAAATACTTTGGTTGCAAGCATCACGTCGAATCGAGTTGTTGTGGCGACTTCTCCTGGAAAACATAGAAGGAGGTATTTGAAACTAACCTTGACGAGCTTGTCCCAGCCGGAGGAGACAATGACGGGGTTCTGGGGGTTGGGGCTGAAGCGGACGCAGGAAACCCACTCGGAGTGACCCTTCTCGGAGATGGTGTACTTGCAGTCACCGAGGGTGTTCCAGAGCTTGATAGTGCGGTCGCGGGAGCCAGAAACGATTTGTCTGTTGTCGGCGGAGAAGGAGACAGACAGAACGTCGTTGGTGTGGCCGACAAAGCGGCGGGTGGTGGTGCCGGTGGCAAGCTCCCAAAGGCGGAGAGTCTTGTCCCAAGAGGCAGACAGGGCGTAGGCGCCGTCCGAGGAGATAACCTATTTTCCTTCCCATCAGCCCAGAGTTCCCAGTGATCCTAGCCCCGCCAAAGAGGGCGAAGGAGATTCTTCGTAGAAATCGGAGGGGTTCGAGAGACGTACGCAGTCGGAGACGATGTGGGAGTGGCCCTTGAGGGAGCGCTTGGGGTAACCGTACTGGGACTCGTCACGGGTGAGGTTCCAGATGATCAGAGTCTTGTCACGGGAAGCGGACAGGAGCATGTTGGGGCTGTCGAAATGTTAGCGATTGCTGTCTTTCGAGATTCTTGGCCTCCTCCCCCGCCGCCGCCACTGTGCAAAGGCTCGCATGTCGTTGCCCATTTCGAAGAATCCCATCCTTCTCAAAAATCAACGTCGGCGGCAGCGGTAGCCAGGTAGGGGTGATCGCAAATGAAGAGGATTGTAGGAATGGTCGTACTTCTCCATGGAGGTAGCCAGGCTGGTGACCCAGCCATTCTGCAAAAAGCACCGCCGTCAGCCTCAAGCACAACGCAAAAATGACCGGCGCAACGCTGCGGCGTGCGGGCAAGTGAGACGACAACAACTTACGTGGCCCTCGAGGGTACCCTTGAGAATCAACTGCTCAGCCATTGGGAAATGAGGCAATCAGGTCGATTGAGTGGTGAGGGAAAGGTAGAAAGATTGGAGTTGATTCTGAGCGTCACACCTTTGACCCTTGGGGAGCTTGAGCTGAGATTCCGGATTTTGGGTGTGGGTGAAAAAAATTAGCAAACTTCGCTTAGGGCCTGGCAGGTGGAAAGAGCGCCAGCCTTGCTCCTGCTGCGCTTGGTGTGGGTAATCGAGGTGGGGCTCGAGCCAATGGGGATCGCTCGTAGCTACACTTCTTCTGAAATGCTGACACGAGGCTGATTGGCCCCATAGTCGAACAGAAAGGGACGGTACATTAGTACCAACCTCAGAAGAATGATAGCCATGTCCAATGTTTCGGGCCCATCACAGGAAGTTCAATTCTGCATGTCACTCGCTGCAGGGGCTCGCACAATAGCAGCTGTTCACCTATCTTTGATCGCAATATGACAAGTCCATGACTGGCGAACTTCCCGCAGATGTACGCGTTTCTCATTCAGATGTGGTCTCCACGAACCCAAAGCTCACTCTCACGACTTGAATCAAATAAATGCCAACGCTCCCGACTCTCGTCCATGACCACTGTTGTATCCTCGGTTTCTCCTAGTCACATCATAACCTTTTATGCGGGGAGCTACTGCTAAGCGCTCTGGGATTACTGATAAAACTAAGGGTAATCTTGATGATTCGCTAGCTGCCTACGCAAAGTTTCTCACAGCTTTGCTTTTATCCATGCGGTCGCTGTAAAGTGCTCAACCGGATAATCGTATGATCCTCCTCCTGCGTCCCATCTTCATTCTCGGTCAAGAAATGATGTAATCTGCTGGAACTCGTCCACACGATGAAATACCCAAACGCCTTGCTGAATGCATGTCCATTTCCCAAAACAACCAATTCCTGTGTCTGCCTTGACTGGCACCCGACACACTGGCCTATGCAACCCAAGCCCATAAGTTCTGATCATTGCTCATCCTTTTTGATTATGTGGTCGTCCTTGGAAGCACTGGACTCGCGCTTCCGGCCTCTACCGAGAGAGGACGACTAGCTTTGCCCGGCGGCTCGTTTGCTTTGTCGCTGCACTTCCCTGCGCAAATGCCGGGCGTCCGAGTTGACAATCATGCTATGATCGGCAATCTCGAGTTGTTGGCCGGTGGCGCCGCCTTCCTTTTTTACGAAGCCTTCCATAGCGGCAGCCCAAAGCGAATAGCGCTCCTTGGTCATAGGATCGCGCTCCGACAGAGATCTGATTTCCTTCTGCTTTCGGACCTTTGCCGCTCTGACCAGGCCTCGAAGGGCCTCCTCTCCTTGCTTCGAGGCCTTGGCCGCCTCTTCCCTTGTCTTTTGGGGGTCACGACCGTTGTCATCTTCCTTGGGTGTGTATTTGTAGGTATGTTTGCTGGGAAAGTCGGGGAAGGACTTTGGTATGTACGACTTGGCTTCCTTCTCGGGCTTGCCGCTCAGCTCCTCGCCGAGGAGAGGTAAAGTTGTGTACGCATCCGGATCATCGACCAAAGGATTAAAATATTCCACGTCTAGCTTCGCTTTTGGTACGGGATGACGGAGGTGAGGCCTCAGCGCCTTCGTCTTCAGAGTGTAGCGTCGCATCGTGGACTCGAAGTCCGCTGGAGTCGGCTGCTCCCTTCGTGCTGCTAGAGCGACACGTTTGGCATCGGCGATCATGGAGGCCATGTCTGGACGTCGAGTCAGCGCCGAAAAGCATCAGTTTTCACACAACGTCTCGTAATCTCACAGGTCTCTACGGCCCCCAAGAAGCCCTGCATCGCTTCCGGGGTAGCGGAATCAAAGCCAACTTGCTGCAGTGCCAGTCCTATACTTCTTTCGAGGCCACTTTTTGCTTGATAATCCAAAGAAGGAATGGTGACTTTGGTCGCGCCAGGCAGGCTTGGCTCTTCATCGTCGGCGGCATGGTAACTTTTTGCTGCGTCGCTATTCGTCTTCTGTCTTTTGATGATTGGGTTCTCATCTTCACTAGACGAGCTCCGCTTGATCGGAGTCGTTGCCGCGGAAGGTGAAGACATGGCCGACGTCGAACAGAGCTCGAGGGTGATGGAGGCGTGTCACGGCGAGGTCGCAAATGTACGCGCAGATGTCAAGAACAGAAGAGTCTGGACACTTCTATAGATTGAGGTAGAGAAATGCGCGACGGTAATGTATACGGCGCGCGCTCCAAATGTTGGATCTGGGCCTTGGGCGAGGAAGACGCGATGTCGGTGGGAGGAGGTTGTTCGAGGTCCGAGATTCGAGATTGTTTGCGCCTCGGACGGAAGGTACATGAGCTAAGCTAGGTACCTAAGGTAGGTAGGTACGTTGCCCGCGAGAATGGGTACGTACCGATGAATGAGAAAAAAAAAAGGGATTTGGGATGAGGCTCTTTCTCAGTCTTTCTGGGGCTCGGCAGTTGCCCCGCGGCTTACCATCCACTGTAATCGGACTTGCATCCACCCTTCGGGACCCCTTTCAGCGCCTAGGGGCCCTAAGCCAATCATGGATGGGTGATGGATGACCTGGACATCAACACCCAAGGTGGACGTCCAACACTTTTACCAGAAAAAGGAAACGACTCGGGAAGAGATCATTTATCTCGATGACATTTATCTCTTCATCGCATTACTGACCACTCGCAAGCCTAGAGCGGTGTTTTTCCGCGTTAGATCCCAAAGTACGATCTCGTCGCAAGATGTGGCATCATCAAACCACGTACTATCCAAGGGGAGGTCTCTGAGCATTTTTGTCATTCACTTTACCTCAGGTACTCTCATTACTATTCTCAAGTCAAAAATGCACTGCCTTATGCATTTACATTTTCTCAGAGACACAGAGGATACTGTCTAGCGACAAAAAGCTCGCCCTTTGTCTTTCAGCTAGGTAATAGCAGGCACACGTGTAAAACAGGAGGACTTCGTATCTTTACTCACCTTACCCTACATAGTCTAATTAATGCAGGGAGACCCATCTCAGCCAGCCTGTGCTCACTATCTTATCTGAGTCAAGCGCCTCGATGCACCCCTTTCACGACCCAACAATAGACTTCCTCATAATTTCAATGTCCTAGTGTTCAGAAGCCTTCGTAACTTGTGTCGCTCTCTTTTGCCTTTGTCGTTGTCTTTGCTTCCTTAACCCTCTCCGAACTGGCTTAGGGATGGGATTGGGTTTCTACCTGTCACTTCGGTAACACCAAATAAAATCGCTCACCCGTCCAGTGGCTATTGCAATAATGCAGGATCTTGAAACTCTGCGCAATGGAGGCTATCGCGGCCAAGGTCTGCAAAAGCTCAAAATCACCGGCACTTTAGACCATTTCCCCTCGGAAATCCTAGATCTAGCTGAAACCCTCGACCATCTTGACCTCTCCGGGACCGGGATTTCTGTTCTCCCCGATGACTTCAGCAGGCTGCGCAAGCTCAAGGTCGCCTTCTTTTCCGACTGCCGGTTCGCCGTGTTTCCCAAACAGCTATCAGAGTGCCCCGAACTGGATATGGTGGCATTCCGCTCCAACGGCATGACGACTATCCCAGAAGGTTCCTTGCCACCCAAGCTGCGTTGGCTTATCCTCACGAACAATAGCATCGAGGCACTGCCCCGAAGCATCGGCCGCTGTTCTCGGCTCCAAAAGTGCATGCTTGCCGGCAACAATCTCACAAGCCTCCCGGATGACATGGCGGTCTGCAGTAAACTTGGCCTACTCCGCCTCTCCGCCAATAACTTCTCTGACTTGCCAAAATGGCTGTTTGAACTCCCCGAACTCGCCTTTCTGTCTGTTGCCGGCAATCCCTGTTGCTCGATCAGTCTCGAGGAGGAGCTTGCTCTGCTGCGCAAAGTGGACTGGGAGGATGTTGAAATGAGGGAGTTGCTGGGCCACGGAGCCTCTGGCGATATCTTCAAAGCGAGGTGGATGCTCGCCGACTCGGTGGTAGAAGAGGTAGCCGTGAAGCTGTTCAAGGGGGAGGTGACGAGCGATGGGACACCGCTAGATGAGATGGGCGCCTGCCTGGCAGCAGGTTCGCACGACAATCTCATCAGCACATTGGCCAGCATCAAGGGCCATCCAGAGAAGCACGGCCTCATCATGCAGCTCATTCCTCCCCATTATCAGAGTCTCGGCCTGCCGCCTTCCTTGGATACTTGCACTCGAGACCGGTATGCACCAGGCAAGAAATTGTCAGTCAAGGTTATTCTTGAGCTTTTGGGTGGCGTTGCCGCAGCTGCTCTTCACCTTCACAGCCGGAAAGTTTCTCACTGCGATCTATATGCGCATAACATTCTCTTCAACGATCACGGACACGCTTTGTTGGGCGACTTTGGCGCAGCGACGATCTACGAGCACCTCGGCAGATTCAACTTTGAGAAGCTGGAGATACTTGCATTCGCTCACCTCATTGATGACATGATTGGTGTTGCTCATGTCGAGGAGAGTGGTGAAAGAAAGCAGATTCTACAACGCTTGCGGGAGTTACACATCCGCTGCTCCAACTCAGTCGTCTCTGAGAGACCTACCTTTGCTGGCGTCGTCGATTCTCTCCAGGCATTGGCATGAACCCCAACAGCCTGAAAAGGCGATCTTAGCCTGTTGTTTCGGCCTCTGGGGTTCCATGCGGCGAGATATGCATGGCGGGTCCAAGAGAGGTTTCTAGGCAAGGACACATCAGCTGTGCAGGTGCGAACTTCACCTGAAGTTGAGTAGATGGAGTCTTCATAATGAATAGAAGCAAGAGATACGACGGGGATGAGGCATGGGGCTATAGAGTTAGACATAACCTAGACTTAGACGCATTTAGATTTCATCCAAAACAATACTTAGAGTAACCATCTTCATTCAGTTAGCTTTTCTTTGAAGAGTCGCCAGGTGGAAAGATAATGCGATTGAGGTTCATTACTTGGATAAGTTTCGGGACTTCTGCAATTGTTAGCAGACTGTTGAGCTTTTCTGTTAAGTTTGCGGTCATGACTGATGTGTAGTACAGAGACCCGGCTGGTGAAAGTAG